AAAGCAATCATCGTTTTATCAAACGGGCACCAGAGCAACCCCGGATCACCCATGGAAGATCACGTATGTTCTAGGGCAGCTAAAGGGATTGTTTGAAATTCCATGTATTGTTAAGCAAGGGTAAAACAGTCATTTTACACTCATGTTTAGAATTTATTTTAATTCAAATAAATTGTAATTATCATCCATTAGAATAAAACCTCTCTCCTCACTTTCCTTTTCTCTCTCTTCTTTCTTTTCATCTCTCACTGTTCACCTTCCTTCTCTCTCTACTTTCCTTTCTTCTTTCTCTTCCCTAAACTCTCTTTCTGCCTCTCTGTCTTTCTATCTCTCACCCTGCTATTTCTTTTCTCTTTCTTCCCCAATCACGCACAACGATACCCACCGTCGGGCATGACATTCTCATTCTTCCCTTATCCTTTGGAAACATGCGTGAGTCGAGCCTTAACTCAAGTCGTGGGTCAGGCCTCTGTTCAAGTTTCCCCTTTCCCATGTTGTGCACGACGATACTCATCAATTCGCATAACATTCCTTTCCTCATTCTTTGATAAGGACACTGAACTGGATCCTTTCCTAAGTGGTGGGTCGGATCGTGTCTAAGTCCCTTACGACACGAGCGGCGATGCCTAGTGTCGTGCGTGTCTTTCCCCTTTCTCGTTCCTGTCTCTCTCTCTTAACATGGATGATAAAGACCCATCGATGTCCATATTCTTTCTCTCTCTTCTTTTCTCTGTCATGGGCGGTTGAACCCATCATCTATGTTCTTTCTTTCTCCTCTTTCCTCTGTCAAGAGCGACGGAACCCATCGCCGTCCATGTTCTTTCTCTCTCCTCTTTCCTATGCCATGGGCGGTGGAACCCATCGCCGTCCATGCTTCCTTCTCTCTCACTTTTCTCTCTCTTATTTTTCTCTTGCCCTTCTCTTCTCTCTCCATTCTCTCTCTTCTTTTTCTCTCGCCTTTCTCCTTGCTCTCCCTTTTCTCTTTTCTCATCTGTTTCTCCACATTCCTTTCTTCTCTTTTCTTCTCTCTCTCCTCTTCTCTCTCCTTCCTCTTCTATCTCTTCTCTTTCTCTCTCTTGTTTTTCTTATCTCTCCTATTTCTCCTTCTTTTCCTTCTTCTTCTCTCATTTGATCAAGGGACAAGTCTAGCAGTGTCACGATAGTCTCGTCGTCGAGCAGTATTACTGTCATGCCGGTCTAAGTTATCGTGCTCATCTTGCTGCCACGTCGAACTCGCCATTGTGTCAGGCTGGTCAGTGTTGGTGTTCTGTCGTCGAGTAGTATTGCCATCATGCCGGTCCGTGTTACCGTGCCCGTCTTGCTACTACGTCAGGTCAATCACCATGCCAATCTAGCCACTGTGATAATCTAGTCACTATGCTAGACTAGCCACCCGGTCAAATGTCTCTTTGTTTTCTTTTCTTCTCTCTTCTTCCTTCTCCCAAACCCCATCGCATCATTTATTTTCTTTTCTCCTTTGAATGTGCACACTTGTGTGCATTCACCCAAAGACAAGGTGGGGTCTCTTGGCCCACTTGTCTTGTAAAATTAACCATGTGTGTGTGATCACAGAAACATGAAAATATAGGCCAAGGGAGGCGATTCTAAACCAGTTGTACGACTGGGGGGCTTTCTTCATGATCTAAGAGGGCGCCCAAGAGGGCCAGCCCGAGTAAGTCCCGAACCCACCTTAAATTCCTCTCTCATTGGTTGGTATACCTGCCCTTGTTCCTAAGCAAGGTTTCCAAGAAAGTGATCTCAAGTCTCGGGTTCCCTTCGAAACCCGAGACGCGAGTCACCAAATCATCCAAATTCGGGGGCGAGATAGAGGCACCTAACCAGTCATCTCTTGAAATTCAACCTGTTGAAGCGTTCGAGTTGAGTAAAATCGTGATTCATGAAATTTAAAAAAGTCATGTCAATCTCCTTTCTTTCACCTATGAAATATCGTCTTGAATTGTTGGAGTTTGGTTGGGTGAAATGGGGGCAAAAAATGATACGATTTCGAAAAATTAGATATTGAACTCTTCTTATTTTCGAGCATGCAGGAGCTTTATCTCAAGGTGATATTTGGCCCCCTTCGATATAGTATTTGACGTGCAAAGGAAGGGTAATTCGTCATTGACATATAAGAAAATAGAGAGGTATTTTATAATGTTCCAAAGCTCTATGCACCCGAGCTTGGAACCCACACACTAGACACCAGAGTCTTGATAGTTTAGAGAAAGAAAGAGACAAAATCGAGTAGAGAGAGAGAGAGAGTTAGCCCACTGGTTTGCTTGCTGGAATTGCAGAGAATGATGTATTGTTGAGAGGATAAAAAATTGTTCCAAGTGTACAACTCGTATGGGTAGGAGGGTTCTTCCTATAGAGCACTAAGAGGCTTTGTTGTGGTGGTTACATGCACCACCCAATAGCTACAAGTTACATGTGGTTACGTCCACCCCAACAGCTATAAGTTATATGCACTTGAAGGCTGTTGTGCCGATGTGAGCATGCGAGTGCGAAGATCCCTATCAAGCGCCCTTGCGCCCACACCCTTGCTCACATGCACACGAGCGTCGTACGCTCACGTGCTTCGCACATGCACCTTCTCTCTCCTTTGTACGTAGAGTATATTGTATGGAAATGTGTACTCATAAATACAACTCAATAAACTCTCTCCTCTTCAATGTGGGATTCAAACCCATATCTTTCTCTCTCTACAAACAATTTAAGAATTGTTGTTTTGAAATACACGTAAGTATTTTTCAAACAAAAGATACTAACAATTGGAACCCAAAATTTGGGTTAACAGGAACCAGGAGGGTCCCTATTCTGTTCTAAAAGATCAGTTCCAGTTTGAACCGGCCTTTTTTCCTACAATGGAAATGAGTCTACAAGTGTAAGGACTTTAAACTTTCGCTTAACCCATCGTAAGCAGTAAAGGAGTTGGGTTCTGTTAGGTAGGCATACAATGTAAAATTTTGTCAAAACTTTCCATGATGATGAGTCATCTCTTAAAAAGCCTGTTTTCAAAACGGATTTAGAACTTAAAATTTATAAAATATATAAGGGAATGTATACAATGAGACCATTAATCTTTGATATATGGTGGTCACAAGTCCTTACAACCATTTGATGTGAAATTTGATAGCTTGGATGTGTCACAAAGTTCGAGAAAATTTCTTTTGAAGTTTGAGCTTGATCAATGTAATAATTGCAACCATCAATTTCATATCCAATAGTCAAGATTAATGTTACCACCTTGTATCAAAGGTAAATGGTCTCATTCTATACTTTCCCAAAATATAATCTCTTACATAAAGATCATTAATACATAAAAATAAATAAATACTAAAAATTAAAATTAATTTCATTAAAAAAAATGTAGATGTTGGATTAGCTTTTCTTAGAGGGAGTAACAATATGGCATCAGGGATGCAAATGTGAAGAGGGATTGTATGCAATGAGATCATTTACCTTTGGTACAAGGTGGTCACAATTCTTTACAACCATTTGATGTGATATTTGATAGCTTGGATGTGTCACGAAGTTCGAAATTTTTTTTTTTGAAGTTTGAACTTAATCAATGGAATAATTGCAACCACCCAACTTCACATCAAATGGTCAAGATTAATGTGACCACCTTGTATCAAAGTTAAATGTCTCACTCTATACTTTCCTTGAAAATGCATAAGAAAAAAAAATTCGGACTCGTTCATAATGTGCTCCGTTGGTTTCATGTTATAAGTGCTATTCAGTGTGTAAAGTGGGTCTACGCATGTTCTTTTAGGGAAAATTACAAAAAACCCCCAAGACTACACCTTTTTTTGTAACTCACCCCAACCAAACTTTTTCTCTCACTTTTTTTCTCCAAAATACACTTTATATGCAAATACCATCAATCAAATAAAAGAATAAAAAAATACCTAAACTACCATCTTTTACTTTTACCTTACTTACGCCTCTATCTCCTCTATCCTATCAAAATAGGGGCTCCGACATTGTGTAAGTACGGTTCGGTAGTAGGACTTCGGCACTGCATAAAGTGCGGTCCTGCAGTAGGGCTCTGACACTATGTAAAGTGCGGTCCGACAGTAGGGCTCCGACATTGTGTAAAGTGTGCTTCAACGGTTGCAAAGGACGCTTCGACGGTTGCAAAGGACAGTCTGACAGTTGTAAAGGGCGTTCCAACAGTTGCAAAGGGTAGTCCGACAGTAAATGTTACTGGATTCCAGGGTTTCGACACTATGTAGGGGCGGTCCGACAGTACTCAGTTTCGGTCCAGTAGTTGTCTTAGGGCGGTCCGACACTTGTGCTCCGGTAATGTGATCACAATGCCTTCCGACAATGTGCTACTGGGTTCTAAAAATCAACATTAAATCTGGCTAAAATGATTTTTGTGTGCGGAAAGAGCAATTTCGTCTAAAAAATAAACTTTTTTTTTTAGGGATATTTGTATAGAAATTCGTTCCAGAGAAAAAAGTGAGAGAAAAGATTAAGTTGGGGTGAGTTACTTAAACAAAATTGTAGTTGGGCTTTTTATTTTTTTTTCTTAATGAAAACCTGGTTTGCAAATGAGGGGGCGACGCCGCTGTTCTCCCTGCCTGATGACGTGGCACTTCATTATTGCATTCCTTCTCTCTCTGCCAATTGTTGCATTGCTTTCTCTCTCTTAAAATATGTGTATGCTCTCGGCTGCAAAGAGACACGAAAGGGCATCTTAACCCACCCCCCAATGGTGCACAAGGCCAACTATCCTCTCTGTTTCGAAGTATAAAAACAAAGGAAGGTCAGTGGCTTTTAACGCTAAGACGCCCCACAAGCTAAGTTCTATTTTGTGCGAGTTTGGGGTCAGAGAAGCAATATATGTTAGGGAGGGATTTATTGTAACCCTAGTTTGGGTCTGGGAAGCTATATATCTTAGGTAGGGATTTATTGTAAACCTTATTTATTTTATTTTTTTTTTCTTATTTTAGGGCGTGTTTGATTGCCTTTAGCCGCGGTTTCTGTTTTTATAAAAAAGGGTTTTATTGGATTGTACTTGTCCTCGAAGATTATCTGTTTTTTGGAAATTAGGGTTCCGAAGTGTTGCCATTTGTTATGATGATTGATCTTTGTTGTGTTTTCTTTTTTTAAAGTTGTTGATGTTGAAGAGCTAGGCCTTTCCTTTGTCTTGTTTTTTATTGTTGCCTCTAGAACAGGATTGGGGTGATTGCCTTCTTTGCCTTGCTTTGTTTTCTGAATCCTTTTATATGTTCCTAAGGTCTCTCTGATTCATGTGCACGTTGAGAACTGTTTGCTGGAAAAGTGCTTGGATTTAGTTTGGTTTGTTTTCCTGTACATTTGATATTTATTACAGTTAGGATCTTTGTGTAATGTGTTCAGCTCTTTTGTGATGCATGTTGTATTTGGCATTGATCTATATTTGTTTATGCATGGTTGTTCTTCTCTTTTGGATAATCTAACAAGTTGAAGTTCTCTTGTCTTTTAATAATCTGAAGTTTGAGTTTTTTGCCTTGCATGATGGATGGTTGCTTATGCTTGGGTTTGTCTTTGATTTGGCTATGATCTTTAGCTGTTTATTCGTAATTAGGGTTTTTCCCCTTGTTTAAATGGTTCTTCTATGTACCTACTAGCATTTCTCTCTCTGATGGTAGCTTATCTATATTTATATTGGCATCCCCAATATTACTTTATCTATTGACTTTATTTTGTTCAGAACCATATGAGTTCTATGATTTAGCTAGCTATACTCTTGATTGATTTGTCCTTTTAAAGCTAGTCTAACTTATTCTTTCAGTCATTGCATATTGTCTATCTCCTGTAAAATTTACATGATCCTAAGTACTAATTGATGGGTAAATTGCTACGTTATTGTCCAAAGAGTTCTGTAGCATATTAGAATGGGGCGTGTTGCATACAAAGTCTTATACGGTTGTTCCTACCATGCCATATGTGATCAATGGTTTGATTTGCTTATGTCTATTTTGCCATCTCTCTCTCTCTCT